TTAGATCCCAAACACTCTTGATTGTATCCTACCCGGCCTGAACCAATTTCCTTGGAGTCACGATCCACCCGAGATCTATGTCTTTGAGGAGGCATTGATTACTRGCCTCCAGTTTCCTCTTCACCCTTTCATTTGTAAGATTCGTAATCACTACGACATCTCCTTAGGCCAGCTCCATCCTAACTCCATTAGGACAATAGTGGGAACTATATCACTTTGTTACCACCTTGACTTCTCTTTGGATATGGACATCTTCTCAAGGCTTTGTCATACAAAGAGGGTTCCCAATGRGCCCTAATGTTATTACTTAAGCTACTGGCATGGCTATAAGCTCATGGTTGGTAATTCCTAACTAAGGTGAGGCACTAGACGAATAGGCACTTCTTCCTCTCTTAGGAGAACAACTGGCCCATGGGCACTACCTGTCAACGTGAGCCAAAGAGAGTTTCTGATATCGAGTTCGATGACGCATTGTGCCACGAAGTTTAACTCCTCGTAGCTCGGGAGTTAATGATTGATCAATTCTTAGCCGAGCCATTGCTTGTGCAGGTTGTCCTGAGCCCCATAGTTAGGTTGGCCTAATCGTCGTTGATTACTTCTACATCATGAAATGCTCCTTTGACCAGATTGACTCACCTTTTTTTGTAGAAATGTTGAGTACAACTTCTATTCTTGTAGCTGCTAAAAGGCCTTCAAAGAAGAAGAGGAGGGAAGGAGACTCCTCAATGCGTTCATCAGTTGAGGGAAGGTCGACAGAAGGCTTGTCGGCCAAGCATGTGCCCGAAGTAGTCAACCACGAAGAGGGAGGCGATCCTATGCTTGTCAAGCATGCCCAAGTCTTCCCAGATCAGACTACTCCGTTGCCCCATGTCACCACCCATGAACATGTACCCGGTACCTCCAGCTCTCAGACACCTCGATTCATCCCCAATGTGGATGTCTWGATCGCCAACTGAATTCATGATCCTTTAGTTGCCTTCAAATGGGAAAAGGGATCCTCCTTCCTAAAGATGCCTGGTACTATATGGGGCTCGATCCCATCGACGTCAACACTAGGATGACTTAGTACATTTTGTAGGTACATAGTTTTACTTCAATTAATTGTTCTTGTTTTTGTTGGCTTTGACCATGCTCCTCTATTGTTCGCAAGCGAATACTATGGGCCAAGTCCTACTAGATTAAGGTGCCACTTCGAGGCACGAGGCGTAGGAAATGAAAGCGAACATAGAGGCCATGTGAGCCCAGTTGAAGGGAGTCTGTCTTAGCACCAAAACGACCAATCGCAATGCCAAAGAGGATCATAAGTGCTTCTGTGACCTTAGCGTCRGCATGCAACACGGGCTAGAGGAGGCTAGAGGGACCATCACCAATTTGATCAACGAGGTGCAAACTCGAGAACACCAGCTTAGTGAACGATGGACTAAGTACACCAAAGATATCTACTGAGCCGAGGTTGCCACAATTGAACAGTTTCACTTGTCGCTAGAATATGAGCATGAGAAGGTCGAGGCCGAGGTGCCCTCTCTAAAAAGGGGCTTCAAGTTATGTTGTTGCTTCCTTCAACCCTGCATCCCAACTTTGACTTCGGTTCCGTGTCGGTTAGGCCGGTTCCAAATGAACTAGCCAAGGAGGTCGATCGAGAGCCTCTAASTCTAGAAGAGGAAGGAGATGAGGATGGCAAGGATAATGCCAAGGCAGAGGGCAAAAACAAGGAAGAGCCAGTAATGGTTAAGAGGGTGACGAGGAGGAGGAGGAGTTGCTAGACACTGAGTTTTCTTTTATTAGAAGTTGTTATATTTTTAGAATCTCTAAATTTATTGTCTCTATTTTTTTTGAAACTTGTACTATTTCTCTTTCAATTAAGCAATGAAATTTCTTTTCTTGAATATGTTGTGCCCCTTCGTACCTTTTTATTTTTCAACTTAGAAAATCGGTTAAGTCTAGAACATAAGCCAAGGTAATGAGGTGTCGGTTGGCCAAGGTGCTAAAAGCGAATTGACCTCTCAAAATTTCAGCTAAGTCAAACGTTGTCGAGTTGTTGGTCGTCCATTACCGACGTGTTTTTAGGTCGGCTTAAGGGTGCTTTAGAGATGAAAGCARTTTGACTTCCCT